ACTGATCGCAGTTGAAATGCTTTGCAGGCTCCAATACAAAAAATGCACATACAGTACTAGATTTTATCAACGTGAGTGGATTTAAATTTTTTTTTTTTGTACAAGGGAGACTATGACTTTAAGTATAAATATGCCTACGGGATCTTACCATAAGACTGTACAACTCCACTGATGAGCCTTGTGTTTATGGTTTCTCCATTTCGCTCTTTTTCAATCAGCTTGAGCACTGCATTTGTCACCTAAGAAAGAAGGCACACGTGAATTTTTTTCTTCATTTCTGACTCTTGAACTGACAAGTATTAGAAAAATAGCTTCACAAGACCGATCTATCACAGTGGCTGCCAGCCAGAATCACTCTACTCTACATGCTGCTTGAAGCAATTTACCTCTCAGTTTTTAACAACGAATGAATTACCTAGAGGAATACTTGCAGCATTATAGACCTCTGATAAACTTGAAGCCAAAGGCTAGATAAATCTCTGTAAATGGCCTCATTTTAGCACTTTATGATTTTATTAAAACTTCCTTCACTTCCTATTCTGAAATGTGGCACATAAATAAACATTTTGTTTCTTCACACTCCTCCCCGATCTAGACAGCTTCAGCCTCTGTCTAGTCTTGTCTCCAACAGCCTGCAGTAGGGAGATGGAGCTTAATCTCTGAGAAGACACTTTCCGTGGTGCACCTTTTTCAATCGTCTCCATAAAATACCATGCAGCCATTCCTTCCTAGCGCAGAGATATCTGCATATTTATGTAGTAGTTGTTAGAGCTGCCAGCAGCTTCACTCAAACCCACTTTAACTTGCTCTTGTGTGCAGAAGCAACACGGCTGGAGAACTGGGAATATGTGTACAGTAGGGAGCTAAATTGCTGCAAATCTGAGCTGTTGGGGATGTGTGCTCATTGGGGTTGATATGCTGCAGGGGAGCAGCTAGGAAAGTGTGCGTGCAGGGGTGATATGCTGCAGATTTTGCTTGCACAGCTGTCACGCATGTCCCAAAACAAGAACACATTGTTTTTACTCGTAAAAAGGTGCCGATACCTGCACTTAACATTTTTAAGCAGAAGCCAGCACTGCAAACAGGCGCTGCCATTCACAGGAAGGATGCAGAGGTCCCCAGCAAGGTCCGGGCAACCTTTCTGTGAATCGCGGCGCCTGTTATAGTGTTGGCTGCAAATCTCTTCCTGCAATCCCCGCCCACACACCGAGACCGCCCTAAAGCCCTGGTCCCGCACAGGTACTTTTTTGGAAAGTTGATATATATAGTTAAAAAAAAAAGTGAACTAACTCTAACTGCCAGAGAAAAAGGCCTTCTGCCCTGCCAGACAAGGCTGTGCTGTGCTGTACTGTACTGTGTAGCAGAGCTGTGTATATCTCAGATGAGCAGAAATACTAATCATTTGGCAGGTAACAGCAACTTGATCAGTATTTTTTCGTGTGTTTTTAGCTGTTTGCCTGGTGTTCAGTAAATAAAATGCATAGAGCACCAAGTAGAAATGAAGGGTACTATAAAAGATAACAATTATTTCCAAAAGGGGAGACAAATGCTGTTTTCATGCACATATATTCTCCGAGACAAAAGTAGCTATGAGCCTATAACACAACAGATAAGCAGAGGCAGCCTCTTTAGTGAAAACTGCATGACGTATATCCAGAGGTATAGGCAGATGAGAGAATGTGCAAAATTTAAACTTTTCTTTCAATATATGAGCTTATCCATACCCTCCTTTAACCTCCACAGGCTCCCTGCTGCTCAAAGATTTCCCACACCATTAAAAAGAACCAAATAGGGAGGCGAGAGACTGTGGGGCCCAAGCTAAACTTTGAGAGGGATTGGTCCACCTGACCATAAGCTGTCAAGTTATAGTTTCTGGTTGCTCCCAAAGCCTTACTCCAAAGAAGCCATTTCCATGCACTGTACTGATGCAGGCCAACAAGCCTGAAACAGCTGTATGCAGTTTGGAATAAATGGCTCCACAATATTAGATTGCATACACTGAGTGGCCAGATTATTATGACCACCTGACGTTTGTAGGCAGATTAGCTATAATTAGCTATAATTTCGCGCTGAAGTTGCTAGAGGGCCAGACCATTATAAATAGGGAAGCAGGTTGTTTACCACGACATTAGAAGCGATTTTTTTCTGACGATTTGGGTAAACAACACGATTTAACAGCCTTTGAACGTGGGGTGATTGTTGGCGCTCTGAGCCATGGAGCGAGTATCAGCAAAACAGCAGAATTCGTTAAATGTTCAAGAGCAGCTGTTGTTAAAGTGTTTAAAGACTGGACTGTCAGCTGAAAATCTGGGTCAGAACGTGCGAATTGTGGTCGTCAGTGACTACTCAATGTTAGCGCAGAACGGAGAGTGGCAAGACTGGTATAAGACAACAGAAGGGCAACAGTGCATCAAATGACTGCAGATCTTAATCAGGGATCCTCTCAAATGATCTCTGAACGCCCTGTTTGCCGTACACTGCATCGTATGGGATATGGAAGCCGAAGGCCTGTTCGAACACCTTTGCTGTCTGCAGTTAACAAGATAAAACGTCTCCAATTCGCACAGGAACACAAGGATTGGACAGTCACTCGCGCATTGGAAAAAAGTCATGTGGTCCGATGAATCGCGTTTCCAGTTGCATCATGCAGAGTGAGGATTTGGCGGAAACAGCATGAAAGCATGCACCCCACATGCATGAGTACAACCCTTCAAGCTGGTGGGGGCAGTGTTATGGTTTGGGTCATATTTTGGGCCCTTTAATTCGTGTGGAACAACGTCTGAATAGCACAACACACCAAAGTATCGTTGCTGATCAAATTCATCCTATCATGTAGATGGCGTATCCCAATGGAAATGGCTTCTTCCAACAAGACAATGCGCCATGCCACGGTGCTCTTATTGTGCAGGAGTGGTTTCAAGAACATGAGGGAGACTTTACCTTGCTTAGGTGGCCCCCACAATCACCAGATCTCAATCCAATTGAGCATTTGTGGGACGAAGTTGAAAGAGCCATCAGGCAGCTGGTTCCACAACCATCAAATCTCACAGAACTGGACAGTGCTATTCATCAGGCATGGTGTCAGATTCCTCGCATCACCTTTCAACATCTCGTGGAGTCAATGCCAAGAAGAATCGCCGCAGTATTGAAGGCAAAAGGTGGCCCAACGAAGTACTGATGGGGTGGTCATAATAATCTGGCCACTCAGTGTATGTAATATATACCAGCGATTTGTGATTTATAAATGTAATTTTATAACTTTTTTTTTTGCAGATTTTCACATTCATACTCAAAGCCCCATTTGCAAATATATTAAAATGTTTGTTTTTAGAAGGTCCAACATGTCATCAGTTTACACAGAATTAAGGTGCCCATAAAATGGAAGGCGTGCAACTGTTTCTACTGTACGGTTGCACTTCTTTTGTCTCCTGAACAGGCTTGAAAACACGCCAAGAATCGTAGGATTGTCGGCAGGTTAGTGGCGTTCTTGGGAGACAGATGCCGCACGGGCCGGTGTGCGCAAGCGCACACTGCCCGTGCGGCATTGAAATCATCGGAAGCCCTCCCCTCAGCGGGGCGGGCTAGCGATGATCGCAAGTACGATCTGCCTGTCCAAGATGGGCAGATCGTACGAGCTTTTAATTACTTTACAACCCTCGCAAGACGAAAGTCGTGCGATGGTTGTAAAGTGTATGGCCAGCTTAACAGTTTTAAAAGACCTGACGAGAATAAAATTCTGCTTGCAGCTCTTACCTGTTTGTTCAAAGGCCGGAAAAGGCAATCCCTCCAGGTGACTAAGGCAAGCTGGAAAGAAGAAAAATCTATGATCACTAGGTGTTCTTTGGTAAGAGCATATTGAGCAACAAGGAGATTCACAAATAAGAAAAGCTAGACTTAATTTAGTAAAATGTGCAGGACACCAAAGTCCTCATATGAGAAAATTTGGGTTTTTTTTGTACTTGCTGTAAAATCCTTCTGTCAGAGCCCACTGTGAGACGCAGTTTGATTAGCAACCTAGGGTTATACTGCTGCCTACAGGAAAATTGGACACATGGCACATAGAAACTGAAGGCCAGTCCCCTTGAGGCTATAACCCCTCCTGCCCCACTCCTGCTCTGTTGTAGCAGGCAGCCCAAAGAGATAGCAGCTTATGAGGTAAGGGAGTGGTGTCCCTCAATGGAGAAAATAGGATTTTTATCCTCACCATAAAATTATTTTCTTGATCATCCATTACAGGACAAAGCTTGATAAGAAAAAGCTGCCCAAGCTGAGGGGCAGGAACTCAAACACACACACCCCCGAAAAAGACAAAGAACTACTAAGGGCACTAAAGCATAGCATTAAAGGGGAAAGGCAGACCCACCCCATGTCCTAGAAGGTGGTAGCCGACCTGTGGTTCAGGGTAATGGAACCTGACTTGAAGAAATGAAAGTAATCATCTCTGACACTGTTCAACCTTCTGGAGGGTGCCAACTTTTGTTCCCCATGGTCCCTGTGTGTGTGATGTAAAAGTAGCCCCAAGCTCGATTCAATGATGGACTACAATCTTTATACAAACTAGTAAACTAAACGTGAGATTGTAGTCTATCATGGGAGCGAGATTGGAGTGGTGGCTACTTTACATCACACACAGGGACCATGGGGAAGAAAAGTAGCCATCCTCTAGAAGGAAGGACAGAGTCATCACCAATTCAGAGATGATTTGAGGATCTACAGTCGAGTGATACACAAATTCATTTTTATTAATAGTTGAGGTACTTAGAATGCATTTTTTTGATTTAACTCCTGGGTTTAGTGTCACTTCAGAGACATCCCTCCAACTTCTGCGCTTCCTCTCTGCACAGAACCACACTTTCCACTACCGCAGGGGTAGGCAACTTTGGCACTACAGCTGTAGTAAAACTATGAACCCCATCAAGTCTCTGCCCCTGGGAGTCATGCATGTGGCCATCAGTCTTGCAATGCTTCATGGGCCTTGTAGTCCAACAGCAGCAGAGTGCAGAGTTAGCACATGTCCCCAACTCACACTCCATAACCTACGTTCCTAATGTTACCCTATGCTTGCTTCAAGCGAACCCCTCCTCTCCCCCCTCACTTTTACACCTAATGCCCCTGAACCTCCCCCTGCTTTCACTACAGCACTTACAATCCCTACCTCACCCCCATGCCCAAACATCCCCTAGCATGCCTGGGCACACTTTTGCTAGTTGTAAATAATTTCAATTGGCAGAGACCTAATTTCACTTTGACACTGAAGAGTTTATTATATTTATTCAATGTACTAGAACAATAAAACCTAAAATACTAATTAAAAGTCCTACCGAGTAAATTTCATATATTCCTTTGCGCCCTTCATCACATTCACGCCGAACCCAGTGGCGGTTGAGATATGCACAGATGCCATTCAGTACTTTGCTAGAAAACCGATAGTCTTCCCACTGCTGTGTGTAAAACTTTAGTACGCTTTCATCCATAAGATCTTCTCCATCCTGCAGAGTGAGCACATTAAAGTTAATCATACAAAAGATCCTATAGGAATGTTGTTTAGCAATATTTCACTGAATAAAACACAATGTTCTATTTTACTCAACTTCCTGCCACACATTCTGGAGGAAATGAAGTCTATATATCACTAAAATTCACATGCCTCAGTAAAGCAGATTTTGAGTAAATAAAAAGGTACCTCTTTCTTGCCATGAATAAAAAAACGCTGCTCCTGAGCTCCCTCATGTGATCCAGAGCCTAGATCACGTGGTCTCTGGTCACCAGGAGCACCGTGGGTTTTTCACGTCATTAGAGACTGCAAAGAGACTATTGTTGTCAATCAGACAGACTCTGTCTGGTAGACTAAGTGAGATCAGAGGCGCAAGGTACAACTATTATGTAGTAAACTAAGCAGCAAACGGGCTTGCATTAAACTGATCTTTCATATGAATAAAGAAAGAAAATTAAAAACGCAGTAACTGCTCTTTAAAAAGTATCGCTCACCTTCAGCAAGTTTGTCAAGTAACTCTTCAAGAATTCTTTTAATCTCTTATAAAGTTCAAGCCCAACAAACTGAGCCCCTCCAGGGGTCTGGCCTTTTTTGGATTTTGATGGTGGCACTCCGGCGCCTCGTGCTTGATTAGACTGGTGTACACTAGTACAGTAGTTATAAACATGACTGAGAGCACAAGTCAAGGAGCAAAATGACTAAAAAAAGTTAAATCACTTTGAGAAGAGTAAAATGGTTTGTTTGGTTTTTTAAACATCACCAACACCACAAAACCAACAGCATAAAAAAACCTGGCAAATCGTTCCATTTTAACGACAGACTGCTTAGCCACATTAGTACACATTGTCGTACTTGCTTCCCTTGGAGTCCATTGAGGGACACAGGAATTCAGATAGTCAGGTTATATTGTTGCCCACAGGAGAGAAGACTTGGCACAAACAGAAAAATTTGTAAGCCAGCCCCCATATAACCCCTTGTCTACACAACAGTCCTGTTTTGTGGTAAAGCAGTACCCAGAGCATGAATAGAAACATCAATTTATGTGCCCTGTGGCCCTTAGTGTGAACCAGTATCGGAATCTGTGGAGCGAGGAACAGGAATCTTGGTAATACAGCAAAAAAAGGATGGCACTTCATTTTTTTTAATCCGAATAATGGAAAAAAAACGAATCAACCAACTAATCGATTATGAAAAAAATTATTAGTCGCAACCCTAGCTAAAACCCAGAAATGTGAATTTCGGTGCATTTTCTTCTTGTTTGAATAAAAAAAAAAAACCACAATCAATGCAACCTAGTACCCACTGTTTTGATTGTGTAACTGAGTAAAGGTGGATGTCAATGAAAAATGTAATTTGTATGGCAAGCAATAAGGCTCATTCAAACTACATATGACTGTGCCAATTTAAAGGTAACCGTCTCTTAAGGAGAACTATGGGGTTAAGGATTTTCCCCATAGTTCTCCTTAGGGTAACAGGAGGCCACAAACTAGCGTCCTCCCGTCACCCTAGGCTCAGTATACCGCGAGCTGTAGCTTGCGGTATGCTGAGATGCCGCAGTATAACGCGAGCTGCTGCTCGCGGTATTCTGAGACGCCGCAGCTGAAGCGGATCCCGACAATTGTGCCGGGATCCTCCCAGCTGCGTGACTGACAGCTGGCTCTGCCTATCTAGAGGCAGAGCCAGCTGTACCCGCCCCCTCCCCGGTCCGTTCCGCCAGTCAGCGCTGGCGGATCGGAGCGGGGAGGGGGGAATCCAGCCCCTCCCCTGTCACGGCAGAGAGCCGTGACAGGATCGAGAGGTGAGCGAACGCCGGTATGTGTTCGCTCACCTCCCGATCTACTGAGCCGACCTGTGACAGTCTCATTGTCACAGGTCGGCTAGAACTAGGAGGTGAGTGAAAAGCACTCACCTCATAGTTCTCCTTTAAGGGAGCGGGTAAAGAACTAATCACCAGTATTTCTGGTGGTCTCCTTGCAGCTGATCTGTTCCCCTTCCTGGCTTGCTATGCTTTGTTCTACACTGTCGGGTTTATTTACTAAAGGAAAATAGGCTCTTCACTTTGCAAAGGAACTTTCACTTAGCTTAGTGAATGAGGTGAATTTTTGCTTGCACATGATTGGATGATGGAAGTCAGAAGAGCTTTAACTTATTCACCAAGTGAAGGAAATGTCCCCTGCAAAGTTCAAACCCCTGTGTCTGTGTGTGGAGGTGGCCATCTTGATAAAAGCACAGGACTGTCCTTCCCCCTGTCAGAGCCTTCAGCGAAGATAACAGTGGAGAGCACAGTAGTAACATCTTCAAATCTCCTGACACTAACAGTCAGAGCCAGCAGCGCCTTAAATCTCACATTGCAGACATACAGCTATGAGTGCCTATACACCCTCATAGACAGACACTGCCGCCTAGACAAAAGTAACATTTCTAAATGTTCCCCATCAAAAAGCAAATCACTACTCTAATAAAATATGGTTTCATTTGTTTTAAAAGAGGGAAATATACTCTCTTTCAGATAAGTTGTGTGTTTAAAGGCCTAGTCACACTTGTCCATTCTCATGCAGCAAATCTCATGCATTTTGCTGCACGAAAATGCATTTCAAGCAGAAAGGCCATTCTTTACTATATAGCTGGTTCACACCTATAACGGCAGTTTAGTGTCAAATGGAAATGATATGAACCCTCTGCCACCTACATGTTTGCATTACGTTGCGTGTTGCAACGTGTACAGAACAATGTGAATCCAGCTTAAATATTGTCTGTAGCAACTGGCTAATTTTAAATGGCATTCATTGCCTTCTGTAATCTATGGTATTCATCCCCATCTCTATCCGATGGAATGCTTCAAAGTCCAATAGAGATATGCTGCTTTTAGAAATGGATACAGCAGAATGGAAGGGAGTGGGGTAAGAATAGCATATCAAAATTCTGAAAATGTCATAGGTTGAAGCCCCTCATTTCAGAGTGGAATTTAATTCATGAGATCCCAGAGGGGATAGTTCACACATAATAATAAAATAAAAAAAAGGTACTAATATATATATATATAT